CCTGTGCCCCTGACCGCTGACCCCAAGGATGAGCTTGATAGGCGGGCATCAACCCTGTACAGATCTGCCTGCTGGATAATCCACAGTGCCTGTAGGTGTGCTCAGGGTGGGAAGCCCTGTGGAGTGGCAGGGCTGAATGTCCTCTGAGGTGTGGACAGCGGGGGCTGAGCGGGCACCCAGCCATGAGCTCCATGTGTCCCTCTGCCCAGCTAAAGCAGCACTTCTGTCTATTCCTGCTGGGACCCCTTCTGGCCTGCTGCCCCACATGGTCAGTCCCGTGACTGCTGGTCTCCACCCTGATGATCCCAGGTCCATAGGAGTCGCATGGCTACATCCAAGAGACCCGATCCCAGTGATGGCCTGCAGCTCCCTGCCCCTCAGGCCCGTGGCCCACGGGGAGGATGTGAGGGAGGGGCCCCCCTGCCCCAGTCTGGGAGGCTCACCTCAGTGCCAGGGCGGTCGTCCACTTATACCCGCCCGTCCAGTTGCAGTACAGCATTTTGGGGAAAGTGCGGTTACCTTGGAGAAAGGGAGAGAGAAACATGGCACCGAGACATGGCAGTGAGGTCAGCCCCACTGCCAGGCGGGGCCCAAACTGACGCTCCTGGTCAGCTACGTCCACAGCAGGCCCTGCTGCTGAGGCAGAAAGGGGAGGAAGAGAGCATCAAGCACAGGCCATGGCCAGCAGCGAGGAGGAGAGTGTTCAATCTCCTCTCTCTCCCCCCTCCCTTGCCCCCAGGTGCAGAGCCGGCCCCTGGTAACTGGTGTATCACTTGCACCAGGAAATCTCAGAGGCCGAGGGCAGCCCCAGAGAGCCACTCTGGCAAGAGCCAGCTGAGTGCGGTCTCTCAAGGAGTATCTCACTGTATGTCACATTTCACCTATTTGAGAGAGGGCCCCACCATGACTCTCCGTGACCAGGCTGGTGGATGCGGTGCTGCCAGGTGCTCAGAGCCTTCAGGGCTGCTCCCCGCTGGGTGTTGCTGGGATGGAACCAGGGAGGGGATGCTCCCCACGCACTCTACCACACTGGCCCGTCTTATTTTTAGCCACAGGGAGGGCAGTGAGCCTGGAGACAGGGGCTGCAGTTAAGTCAGCGTCAGATCTTGCAGATTTTTTGTGTTTTCCCCCACATTTTAGGGGTCAGAGAATGGCAATTTCCCGGGTGCCTCCTTTGCTCAGCTCGCCGAGATCACTAATGAGCTTGGTACTGAGAAAGTGCCACAAATGCGTCTGATGGAACCAAGTCTGCGTGGGGCTGGGGCTTCTGGGGCCAGCGCCCCACCAGGCGGGTCTCCCTGGTGCACGCACTTACCCAGGCAGTGCACGTGGTCCCGCACGGTGCAGTTGGCCATGTAGCGCTGCCGTGGACATGCCACTGTCATGCAGCTTGTGGAATCGGAGCACTCGTAATCGGCCTCGGGCAGCTGCCAGCAGAACTGACAGGTCATGTTGATGACGAAGTTCTTCTGGGGTCTCAGGTCTTGGTCCTACCAGACACAGGACACAAAATCAAACCTGTCACAGCCCTGTTAGTGGACCACGAGGTGCACGACGGGGACCTGCTTTGTAGGTGGGAATCCCGGGTTCAAACTCCACCCCTACATGCTCCCCTGAGCACTGCTGGGAGCCACCCACTGAGCAGAGGCAGTCCCTGAGCACCGCTGGGAGTGACCCCAAACTCAAACCGTCCCATGGTACCAGTTAAAAAACTCTAATCAGATGGAACCTGGCAGCACAGTGGCAGAATAACATACCAAGCATTATAAGAACAATGTGCACTAATAATAGAAAACATCACGCTACCTAACCACTATGCACACGCAAAAATGTGTATTGGTCAGGTCCTATAGTGACAGAAAACACCCCCCCAAGTATAGCAGGATGGTGAAAGGTTATTTCACAACAATAACACAGTCCCAGCACTTTTGTTTGGCTACATTGTTCATCACGTGCACACAAGCTTTTATGATACAGAAATAAAAGGGCATTTTGTTTTATCTTTTGTTTCTCTTGGGCCACACCCTGCAGAGGGGCCCCTGTGCAGACCGTGTGCAGGGCGAACACCCTCCCTGCTGGACTATCATTTCAGCTGCTCACAGGACGGAGCTGGGATTCGCCAGGATGCCTGTCCTGACCGAGGCCACTCCAGGAGTCTGGCGCCTGCCTTGGTATCAAGCAGGGAAACCCCCCAAGCCCTGACAGGAGTGATCCCTGTGCACAGAGCCAGGAGTCAGTCCTGAGCATTCCTGCACAACACTCCCCCCTCCCCCCCCCACACACAAATTAAATGTAAGAAATGAAAGGTCAGGGAGGCCGAAGCGGTAGTGCAGCCCCCCTGGGAAGGCATCTGCCTTGCAGCCGGTGACCTGGATTCGATCCCCTGCATCCTAAAGGGTCTCCTGAGTACCCCCGGGGGTGATTCCTGAGAGCAGAGCCAGGAGTAAGCCCTGAGCATGGCTGCGTGTGGCTCCGAAGACAAACACTCCTTTTCCTTTTCCAAACGAAAGGCCAAGACTCTGATTCGGCTGACTTGTGCGGGGCCTTGCTGGGGCCCCGCGTTCCGAGAGCTTCCCCGAGCCACGGACCCCAGAGTCCGCAGCGCTTACCACGCAGGTGACCGCGGGCCTCACGGTGCAGTCGAGGGCCACGGGCCGCCCGTAGACGCAGGAGAAGTTGGCGCGGCACTGCACGCAGTCGGGGGGCAGCCGGCCGCAGGGCCCGTTGCTGGGGCACTTGGTCACGTAGGGCGGCGGCGGCTCGGAGCCCTCTGCGGAGAGGAGGGGGCCCCTGAGCTGGGCCGAGGGGCGGGGGCTCTGCCAGCTCTGCTTCCACAGCTGGGCGCCGAGCCCCGGCGCCCACCCCCTCAGCCCCAGCGCAGAAGTGACCCGAGAGGCCACCGCGGCGGGGGGGGGGGGGGGGGCGGGCGCCGGAGCGACAGGGCCGCGGGGAGGGCGCGGGCCTTGCAGCGGCAGACCCGAGTCCGATCCCCGGCACCCCACAGGGCCACCGAGCACCTCCGGGAGTGACCCTCGAGTGCGGAGCAGGGTCAGCCCCGAGCACCGCCGGGCAAACAACGACGACGACAAAAGCCCACTCAGGGGGCCGCCCTGACCGGGCTGGAGCGGCGGCCTTGGCACGGGCGAGGGCCGAGCCGCAGGGAGGAAGCCGGGGGTCGCGGGACGGAGGGCCGCGGCGGGCTCGGTCCTACCTGCCGCCTGGGGGGCGCCCGTGAAGGCGCGCGTCGGGCCCGGGTCCTTCAGCGACTGCGCCAGCGGCCGCGAGTGCTCTAGAGGGGGCAGGGGGGCCGCGCGTCACCGCCTGACGCTCCCGGGGGGCCCCGCTGCCCCCGCCCGCCCCGGCGCCCACTCACCGCCACCCGACAGGAGGTAGAGCTGCGAGAGCACGAGCACCGCGCGCCACAGGCGGCGCAGGCCCCGCAGCGGGCCCGCCGCGGCCGCCATCTTGCTGGCGCGCGCACTTCCGGGTCGCGGGGCGGAGCGTTTCCGGGGCGACGGCGTGGCGTGGGGCGGGGCAACAGCCAGGAGCGGGCGTCTCCGGGGAGGCGGAGGGGCGGGGCATAGCGTTTCCAGGGCGACGGCGTGGCGCGGGGCGGGGCAACAGCCAGGAGCGGGCGTCTCCGGGGAGGCGGAGGGGCGGGGCAAGGCGTTTCCGGGGCGACGGCAGAGCGTGGGGCGGGCGTTTCCGGGGCGACGACGGGGCGGGGCGTGACCTGGGGAGCGTAGTGCACAGGTGCGGAGCCGGCTGCCGGTGAGTACCACCAGCTGTGAAGCATCCTCCAGGGTGTGAAGGTGACTTGGTTCCTAATCCGGCAATACCCTCTTCGAGAGCCTCACTTCTCCCACTGTTCGAGACCCGGAAAGGCCGAATGTGTGGAAGAAAAGTCATGAATCTGGGTGCAGACAAGAGGAATTCACAGAGCTTTTGTGTCAGCCCGGGGAGCTATAAGATGCGCTGCAGCTTTCCTGCGCCCACCTCCTTCCCGCGGCTGCAAATACAGAGCTCTGATTCTTAAGACTGCATCCTGGCCCAGGACAGGAGGAACTTCCGTCTGCCGTAGATCACTCGACCCAGTTCAAGCATACATCCCCTGCTCTGCCTGGATGTTAGAAAGGCGTCTGTCGCTGGTCACATCCTGGCGCCCTGAGAGGGTTGGGGGGGCTATTCCTGGCTTGGTGCCCCAGAGTGAATCCCCGCAGGTACATATGCTTGCCCTCCGAGGCATGCTTCTGTTCTCTCTCTAGCCCATAGAAAATGATCTCAGGCCCATTGAAATGAATTGACTTAAAGGAATGCATCGCTGGAATCTGCTCCAGGGTTTCTGGTTCTCTGCACTCTCACCTGGAATCCACACTTCGTTTCTACCATGGTAAACTCACCCTGCACTGCAGACTGCACCCTTCCCCCAACCCACCTGCCTCAAGGTCATTTTGGGGGGAAACCACTATCTCCTCATCCTTCACCAAAGCGCCCCCCATGAACAGAAAGCCGGGAGTGGCCCCGTAAACCCATTTATATCAGTGGCATTTCCTCCCATGGAAAAAGTAACTGAAGTGGGGACCAGATTATTGGGACATGAACCCATGGCTGAAACACTGGAAAGAGCATGCCATCTATTTCATTTTATACCATCTATTTGTTTCTAAAGGTGAACAAGGCTCAGTTGCCAAACAGAAGCATAAATGGGTAAGTCCATCCTCAGAGCAAGGAACTGCTGATCCCACAACTGGCATTTCTCTGAGGCACAATGCTCTTGCTCAGTGATCCAGGATGTAACACTAGCTGCTGCTTTGGTGGTGGTTGGCTAGTTGAAAAGAAGTCATGGTTCTCATTTGGGAGATGAGTTTCTGTGTGAACTTCAGAGAAACCATCATAAGAAAAACAAACAAACAAAAGCCCTGAGACATAATGTCCTTAGAAATGAATTTCCCTCATATGCAAAACAAACAAACAAAAAAGGTTTGTAGATTTTTTATTTGAAGTGTATCTTTTGAATAACCACTGACTTAGCACGATATCTCACACTCTTCTTTCCTAGTACTACTCTAGGAATTACTTTTTCCCATAGAAGTCTCTGGAGGCATTTGGGAAATAAAGTTTTCCACGTCTGAGCTCAGATGCATGAGTGACTCAAACTTGAGATCAACTACTGCCTCTTGGTCTCCCGGCACCCACGTGAATCAAGATGCATTTTCAAGGACCAAAACAAGTTCTCTGGAAGCAAGGACAAGGGGAGAGCCTCAAAAGTCTTCCTCGGCACTGAGTGTCCGAGACGCTCGCAGCATCCTCAGTCTCTCCATGGCGGCAGCGATTGGTATCTCTCCATGGATTTTGTTGTCCCGTGTGTGAACGCTGACGGCACTATTTGCTTTTTCCTTGTCTCCAACCACTGCAGAAGAGAGGAAGAGAAACTGATCTACTGCACATCACCACCTTCCTAGATTTCAAATCAACAGTCAGGTTGATTTGAGGTTTCCTGAAATAAATGGTCTCTAAATAGGAAACTAGTGACCATTTAGGCTTCCTCTGATAGTATATTTCTCCCCCATCCCTGTTTTTCTGGGGGCGGGGCATCCTGAATGGTGTCCAGGGGGCCTGGAGGTCTTACTGGAATTCTCACCAGCTGGGCTGGTGGTTCAATGCAAGAGCCTGAGGCTGTGATGCTTCTCAGAGCCTGTGATGCTGCGGTTCACTGGGCCTTTCTGGCAGGGCTTGGCGACCTTTGGGCTAGACCCAGGAGGACTGGGGGCCATCTGGGGATTGAACCAGGATTTCTGTGTCAGACATGCTCCCTAACCACTGTACATCCTCTCCGGTCCCTAGTGAGATTATTGTCACATTTGTTTCCACAGTTGGTTTGATATAAAGATCAGGTTCAGGATTTGTGTGAAATGTGATTCTTCTTCTTTTGGCAGATAATGAAGAGTCCATAGTGGCCGCAGACTAGGCGCAGCATGGCATGTTCTTGGTGTCTAAGACAGACACAGTCCAACCAGCAGAAGGACAGAGGTACAGAACAGTTGTTTTTGTTTTTTCAACTTTGTCTTTTGGAATAAAAGGAGGGAGAGAAAAACCAAAAAGCCCCCAAGATTTGGGAAACTTTGGAAGACATCTAAATTACCCAAAATGAAATTATACTGGGCCAGTTGTGCACGCTGTATCTTCTTGCTCAGAGTCCAGCTGTGGTCGAGGTCAGCATCAGCCGTGAAACCTTCTTCTGAAAACTGCCTGGACACCTGACAAGACCAAGGAGCATGCCGTGAGGGGATCTGGGCTGCCACCCCCTCCTGGCAGTCACGCCCCATCACTGGCACCTCCACGCTGTACCCAGATGGTCCACGAGGGTGGCACATGGCACGTCCTGCCTGAGACTCTCAATCAAGGAGGTGCACACCAGGCCCACACCTAATCAGGCCCTAAAACATTCTGGAAGAGGCAGGTAAACACCATTCCCTCTCGAGTGGCCTCCATGGGAGATAAATCCGCAGCACCCCTCACAGACACTGAAGTCACTCGAAGTGCATCATGATTTAAAAGTTAATATTAGTATTTCTCTAACCAGCCGTGTTTCCCACCCCAACTCCCAGTAAAGCCAGGGCCTAGAGATGGGGAGAGACCAGTCGCAGAGGGGGTGCACGCAGGTAAACCTTTAAGAGGCCCACACAGTGAGAAATGGAGGCACTACCCACGAGAGGGAGCCTGCACCCTCCTGCCAGCAGCTTCCTGGATGGCCACGGAGTCAGAATCAGACTCCAGCCATGGGCCCCGCAAACAGCCGCCATGCTGGGCTCGACCTTGGGCCCCCACCAATAAGTAAAGAAGCTGTGGCGGGTGGCATGGGCGTTACCTGCAGTGCTGAGTTGTCACAAGCTGGGCCCACGGGGATGACCATGATCTGCCGCGGAGACAGCCAGAATGGCCTGGGGGTTGGAGAGAGCATGTGGAGGTTCCTCAAGCCCAGTGGGGGAACTGCAGGCCTCACTCCAGGCCTCCCCCCGCCATCCCCAGTGGTCTGTGAACTGTGTTTGTCACTTGGACATGGGCATGGGGGCAAACAGGGACTGAAGGAGAAGGGGACAGGAGAGCAAGCAGTGGGCACACCTCTGATGGCAGGGACAGGATCTCCAGCAGCCCGAAAGGTGAAAGGTGATTCTCAGTTCTCCACGTTCTCACATGGTGCAGGATCAACAGCACCATGTCAGGCTACCTGGTCTGGTTTGGTTTTGTTTTAGTTTGGGGCCACACCTGGCAATGCTCTGGGCTTACTCCCCGCTCTGCACTCATGAATTACTCCTGATGATGCTCAGGGGACCATATGGGATGCCAGGGATTGAGCCCGGGTTGGCTGTGTGCAAGGTCAGCACCCTCCCTGATGTACTATAGCTCTGGCCCAATAACTACAATTTAAATTTTTAAAATTAATTATGAATTACCAATTTACTCATGACTGTTTCAGGAATGTCATATTTCAACATGCATCCCTTCACCACGACCACTTTCCTCCCCAGAAACTTGAGTTTGATGTACCGCTCGACATTGAGAGAGTCAGCAGAAGTTCCCGGGTTTCAGCCTCATCTTATCTAAGAGTTGGGCATGATTTTCTTATGTGGTAGAGAGGTGGAGGGTGGGGCCACACCTGGGGGTGCTCAGGAATTCCTCCTGGCTCTGTGCTCAGGGGACTGTAGTCAGTGCTGAGTTGGAACCAGGGCCGGATGGGTGCAAGACAAGCCCCCTAATCCTGATACTGCCCTGTTGCCAGGCCTAGGCATGACCTCTGATCAGACAGACAGACACCTTCTCCTGGGTGGGTCACTCACCACCTCCCCCCGTAGTTTTCTGAGAGAATGGCGATCATCCTTTCCACGGATCCCAGGATGGCTCGGTGGATGATCACAGGACGGGCCTTGTCCTCCCCATTTTTGCTGAAAAAATGAGAAGGGAACGTTTGACTCTTGTCTGAGGGTTCTATAATGACATTATCAAAAGACAGGATGGCATGGGCAAATGGGTGAGTGGGATAGAACTAGATGTATCTGTTTGTGACAGGGTATTGATAAAGGTCCAAAGACCAATGTCGGAGAAAGATGGTCTTTTGGCAAACGATATATCACTACCTGAATGCAAAGAGTAAGCTCAGACATGAATGGCACCCCTCACAGACACAGAATTCACTCGAAGTGCATCATGATTTAAAAGCTAGTATTAGCACTGGAGAGATTGTACAGCGGGGAGGGCACTTTCCTTGCTTGTGGCCAACCTGGGTTCAGCCCCTGGCATCCCACAGGGTCCCCGAGCTCTGCCAGGAGCACAGGACTGATCTCTCTGAGCAGGGCCAAGAGTAAGCCTGGAGCACTGCTGGATGTGGACCACCACTGCCCCACTCAATAAATTTAAAAACAAACAAACAATATTAACAGACCATCTTTGTGGACTGGGCTAAATCTTTGATGGCAGGACCCATTTAAAAAATGTGGATCTTCAATGGAGTACTATGTAGCTGTTAGAAAAGATGAAGTCATGAAATTTACATAGAAGTGGTACTACATGGAAAGTATCATGTTAAGTGAAATGAGTCAGAAAGAGAGGGATAGACAGAGAAAGATTGCATTCATCTGGGGAACATAAAGTAACAAAATAGGAGACTAACACCCAAGAGTGGCCGGGATTAGTACCAGGAGGTTTGCTCCATGGCTTGGAGGCCAATCACACATGCTAGGGGAAAAGGGAGCTCAGATAGAGAAGGAAGCACCTAATAAAGGAAGTTTGGAGGATTCTCCTAGGATGGGAGAAGCATGCTGAAAGTAGACTATAGACCAAACATGATTGCCACTCAATGCCTCTTTTGCAAACCACAATACCCAAAAGGAGAGAGAGAACAAAAGGGTATGCCCTGCCACAGAGGCAGGGTAGGATGGGGAGGATGGGGGGTGGGAGGGATAGTGGGATCCATAGTGGTAGAAAATGGGCACTGGTGGAGGGATGGGTATTTGATCATTGTATAATTGAAACCCAAGCACAGAATTTGTAAGTCTACAACTGTACCTCATGGTGTCTCACTAATAAAAATTTTTTAAAAAGTCAAAAGAAGGAAAAATGTGGATATTTGCAATCATTGAAATTCAAAAATCCAGATCAAAGGGAATGGTGAGACATGCAAGCTATAAATGAGAAGGAAAATGCAGATATCACATAACCAGCAATGGGCCAGGCGTGGGACGGCTCACCTCATGTACGTGAGGTTGAAGCGAACGGGCAGTTGGAAGTCCAGCTGGATGGTCGCACACTGGTGGTACGTGCCCAGGGCATCCTGGATCTGGATGTCGATCTGCAGGTCAAAGGTGTGGCCTGAGAGATGGCCTTTCCCTGAGTTCCACTCTTCTGGAAGTAGCCAGGGTAGGGCTACTCACCTTGGGGCCATAGAAGGTCCCCTCGCCCGGGCTCTGCGTCCATGGCCTTCCGAATGCCACCAAACTGTTCTGCAGTTGCTGGTGTTTTGACAGGAAGAAAACACGTCTGTGTCCCTGTCCTGTCACTCAGGCGCTTCCCGCCCGCCCGGCAGGAAGGCGCAAGGGGTTTGGGGGGGTGGGGGGAGCCTTCCCTACCTTCTCCGCTGCATCCCACGTCTCAGTCTCACCCAGGAAGTGCTCAGGCCTGGTGGACAAGTTTAATTGGAAGGAGAAGCCAAAGGTTGAGTAGACAGACTGTAAAAACTGCAGACAGCCCTTCATCTCCTCTTCAATCTGAAATCAGAGCCGCAGAAATGTGTTACTGGTAGTTAGCTCCTGCGGTGCCAGGGAGGTTGCTCGGGGTCTCACATCCGTCCGCAAAGCCAAGTGCTTTCCTGCTCAGCCCACGTTCCCCGCAAAGCGGTGGACAAGAATGTGGTGATGAGGGGTGCACCCGGGGAGGGCCAACTCCAGAGATGCATGGGTCAAGTGTCAGTTCTCGGTGAGGAGCTGAGGGGAAGACTCAGGAGACCAGGGTGGCGGGGCAGGGCTACCCTGTGGGATGGCCATGGGGTGGTGGCGCGTGATCAAAGGATCAGACTCAATCCAGTGTCATCATAGTTGGGGTCATGTCCACTCAGTGACAGGAGAACAACGGGAACGAGTCAACACCAGGCATGGCAGCAGATGGCCACTGGAATCTGATTAGCAATTTGGAATTTGGGAGAAAAGACTGGCAAGATTGGGGGGGGGTCCCTTCAGCTGAGACGAGGAGACTGCGGCATCACAGGTCATCGGTCCTTGATCACTTACACGCGTGCCTCATCTGGGGGCCATTGGACTACTCCAGGAGATTTCAAGGGGACAGAGCACAAGATAAGGGGTGACTGGAGGACACAGGGTGCCACAGGAAGGAAATAAGGATACAAGGGGGAACACCATTGGGTAAAAAGTAAAAACACAGCAAGAGCCAATGGTAAGGGTTTACATGCTCAGCACCGCGCCAAGTGCCTGGATGAAGGGAAGGGCGTGATCATTTGGGAGTTGGGAATGCAGGGAAGGGTGCCACCATCCAGGCATGAAGAGTCTCATTCATTTGGTCTTGGGGGCCACACCTGGCCATGTTTGGTGGCATTCCTGGCACAGGTGGTACCAAGAATGGAGCCGTGGGTCTGTGCTCCAGCCCTGTGTCAGCTCCCAAGGCCACAAAACGCCCAAGACAGGGACCTTGACAGACAGGGCATGGGATCAGCCCTGAGAGGAGGGCTCAGGTCCCGAGGGGAGCAGAGCATCTGGAAGTGGGCTCCCTGGGAGGAGCGGAATGGGCGCAGAGTGGGTGGTCTTGGACAGGGGGGTGGGGTATCTGGGTGCTGCTCATCCCAGATCACACAGATCCTCAGCCTCGTCCCTGGGGTCTCACAGGCAGTGCCAGAGGCATGTGACTCGTGTGTCCCTGACCCTGTGAGGACAGACCACACTGTCCCACTTGCCTGCACCCTTGGCCCACCTGCTCCTCTGTGCAGAAGATGTGGGCGTCGTCCTGTTGGAAGCGACGCACCCGGGTCAAGCCGTTCAGAGCTCCCAATGGCTCGTTTCTGTGGAGGACCCCGAAATCGGCCAGTCGGAGCGGCATCTCCCTCCAAGACCGTGGGCGGTGGGCAAACATCAGGCTAGGGAGGCGACGGACACGCAGTGTTAGCTAGGAGAGCTGGGGCAGGCCCAGGCACCTAATTCTGGCTCTGCAGCACCAGCTGCTGCTTGTTTGGGGGCCGGTGAGCGGATTCAGAGGTCTGGGCGCCATGCCTGTCCCCCCCCTTCCCACCCACACTTCTGAGTGTGGCCTAAAATTCAAAATAAGTCTATTAAACTTTTTCTCTATAAATGATTAACCTTATAGTTTCCTTTTTTCCTTTTTGTTTTTTGGATTTTACTCCTGGCTCTGTGCACGGGGGACTCTATGGGGTGCTGGGGATCGAACCTGAGTCAGCCAAGTACAAGTACAAGTACAAATGTCCTCTCCCCTGTACTATTACTTTGGCCCCTTAACCTGACAATTTTCATCACAGCAGCTCTTGAAACCTTTTCTTCCAGAGAAAACTCATCTCCTTCAAAAAGAGGTTCCTGCCCTATTCCAGTGAGCGAATTATTTCTTCTCTCCCTCCTTATCTTTCTCCCCCCCCCCCTCCTGATCCTCCTCCTCCTCCTTGGGCATACTTGCTGGTACTCAGGCTTACTCCTGACTCTGCACTCAGGGATCACTCCTGGCGGGGCTAGGAGGAACACATGGGGCTCTGGAGATTGAATCCAGGTCCCAGGTCAGGCTGCATGTAAGGCAAGTGCCCTGCACACCGTGCCGTCTCTCTAGCCCCTGAACTTCCTTCAGTCTTAACAGCGGAGGGAAAAGGGCTTTCTTCATTGTTCAGATATTTGTTTGAAAAGCACTGATCTGAGGGGACTTACTGGGAACTGGGTCTGTTGGTAGCACAAAAGTAAAGTAGGGGGGCTAGTTGTGGGAGGAGCTGGGGCTTCACTTCTGACTGCCCAATCTGCTCATGGTGCCAGGCTGATTTCACCTATCAACTTCCTGCTCATTTTTGTTGTTGTTTTGTTTTCGGGCTACACCCAGCGGTGCTCAGGGTTATTTCTGACTCGCTGCTTAAAGATCACTCCTGGTGCCACACATGGTGTGACCACAAGTGATTCCAGGGATCAAACCTGGTCAGCCATGTGCAAGGCAAACACCCTGCTGTGCTACTTCTATTCCTTCATAGACTCTAAGTCAACCCTGACTGTCAGATCACACCATTATCTCAGATAACCAAGAAAGAAAGGAACCTATTAGCACAGCAGGTAGGGTTCAATCCCCAGCACCCAAAATGGTCCCGAGTCCCCTGGAGTGATCCCTGGGTGCAGAGCCAGAAGTAACCCCTGAGCACCACCAGGTGTATCCCCCCAAAGAACATATTAATTAAATTGACATCATAATTAGACAAACCCCGATTCCAGAGAGGCTGAAATTTGGAAGGCAAGGAGAGATGTTTTGGAATCTAGAGGCTCACTTCCAACCTCACGGAACCCAGGTGACTGTTCACCTGGGTGAGTGCTATTTACTTGTTTGTTTGCTTTGTCTGGAGGCTGTACATGGTGGTGGTGCTCAGGGCTTAGTCCTGGGATCACAGCTGGGAGCTGAGGGCTTTGGATTCTCAGGGAATGCTATAGGGTGCTGGGGATTGAATCAGGGTCAGTGGCATGGAATCCCGACGCCTGGGCCTCTGTACTATGTCTCCGACTCCACAGTATTAGTTAATTTCATATAACTTGCACACATGTTGCTTGCAGTCCACAACCCACATCTGGATCACGTCTCAGAAAGCTGGTCCTAACATTTGCCTCTGTGCGTGCACCCAGCGCAGACAGAGACGCCAGGAGGGGCCACGTTCCCGCTGACGCTGCGCCCAGGCCGTGCTGGGCTCCCCGCCGAGTGCTCACCAGTGTGCCGGGCAGTTCATGGGCTTCAGGGCCAGCGTGTCCTTTTCCGCCTGCACCGTGAACATGTTCTCACCGTAGTAGCGCCAGTGGCCCG